GTGATTATGTGTGAGTGAGGTGAAAGAGTTGAATCATGACGAAAGTATTTTCTTTTTGGGGATTTTCTTTCTTTTTGGGTCACCCTGCCTCGGTGGGAGACGGCCAACTTGTTAAAAAAAAAAAAAAAAAGATACAATATAAGAAGTGCAAGATTTCAGGTACGTCTTGTTACTTCTACTTACACTTAGGTCACTCTGAACATCCATGTACACGTTCATAGAAACACACTCATCTGAGTTTTCTTTGATTTTATCTTAATAGTTCTTGTTCTTATTGCTTTTCCTTTTATATCCATGGGGAAGACGAATAAGAATCTTTCCTCCATAAGCCATGCGTGTTGTAAAAGTCAACTAAAATGCCAGGAACAATGGGCTAGTAACCCCTTTTTCCTGTATAGCCTACCAAAAAGAAAAAGAAGTTAATATAGATATTTTCATTAGTCCATCTACGATATTTTCTTCAAAATTATGTAAGAAACACGTTACATAGCATATGCAGTAGAGGTTAAACATTATGTTTTCTCTGGTCCAGTGTTAGAGAAAACTGTATGAATCTGCATTGGCCCAGTAACCACCCTTACCCCTTTGAGGGTTTTGGCCGTACTAGTACGGCTTACGACCCATAGTTTTTGACATACTAGTACGCCTAAATTATAGCGCCCTCAAATCTAGTGGGAGAAAGCTGGTAGGCCTACATATGAAAGAATGGGTCTATGTAGTCAATGTGTGCAGTATAAAAAAAATCCTGCAGCACACAGTGCATAATGAGAAAAAAAAAACTTTGACAGTTTTTTTGGAATAAAGCAGTGACTTTGCACTGTATTTTCGTATGGTATTTATTGTTGTATTCTAGTTTTTTGGTCTCATTTTATAGAATGGAAGACATATTACAGAAATTGAGATGATTTTGACTGGTTTTACAATGAAAAGTACCTTGAAATTGAGCTCAAAGTAGCAGAAATGTTAGATTTTTACCAAAGTTCAAAAGTAAACAAATCATGCCAAGCATCCAATACACGTCAACTGGCGAGTCTAATATTCTTTCGCAAGTGCGCCAATATTATTTATACCATTTTTTACACTAATGCAGTAGTCTGCATAACAGTAAATCTTCTATTTTTTGTGAGAATAAAAATTCAAAGTGGAAAGCAAAAGAATATAAGAGGGGCCTTGAGACGTGACTAATGAACAGAGGAAATGTCATTTTAGTGCCAGGTATGTCTTTCTTGTTTATTCTGGACCCTATTTGGAAATTGGCATCTTTTGAAATTTGTGTGAAATTGGCAAAATTGCTAAATTCTGACCACTGTAATGAATAGTTGAAATTGATAAATGGGTGGTTTCTTGCACTCATTCGATAGAAAAAAATGGAGTTCTAGCGAAATATTCATGTTTTTTTGTCAACTAGTACAGTGGAATTGGCCGAAAATGGGGCTCAAAGTGGGCAAATTCGCCGATGCGTAAACATTGCCGAGACCGCTAACTTCGCAAGAGCATAATTCCGTAAGTTTTCCATCAAATTTCAAACTTCTGGTGTCATTATGATCGGGAAAAGATTCTCTATCTTTTCGTAAGAGAAAATTATTTTTTTTTAATTTGGCCAACCCTGAGAACGAGTCTCGGAGAGGGTCTGTTGACCTTCAAAGGGTTGGCATGAATTATTTATTACTTCTCCCTTTGTTTATGATGGTATCTAAAGGTAGTTGTTAGAAACAAACTCAGTGAACATGGTATGTCAATGGTAAAAATATGGCTGAAGGCCGCAGTGTATGTAGCCGGTAGGTATACAGTGGGATGTAGTCCGCCTTGGACTACAAATAAATAGTACTACTCACCAACAAGAGTCTTCAATAAAGGTATGTAATGTTCATTTATCATTAAGATTAGTCATTTATATTTATTTCACATTGCTTTCTGTATGTAAAACTATAATTATTCTCTATAAAATGTATTTTTTGTTAATATTTTTGGGTGTCCGAAACGGATTAATTGGATTTACATTATTTCTTATGGGAAATATTACTCCGGGTTTTCGGCCAACCTTCTGGAATGAATTACAGTGGACCCCCGCATAACGATATTAATCCGTTCATGAGAGCTCATTGTTATGCGAAATTATCGTTATGCGAATGAATTTTCCCCATAAGAAATAATGGAAATCAAATTAATCCGTGCAAGACACCCAAAAGTATGAAAAAAAAAAAATTTTACCACATGAAATATACATTTTCCTACACACAAAGAGAAGGATACATGCACAATAGTAGAGTAGTACATGCACAGTATATATTGTGCATGTACTACTCTACTAAATGAAGAATAAATGACACTTACCTTTATTGAAGATGCAGCAATGACTGATGAGACACTGTGTCCTGGGAGTGCCTTTCCTCCTGAGTACTGTAGGTCCTGTTTGGCATTTTCTTCCAGAAACAGGCCTTATCACACTGTGTATGTCACTATGATTCTTAAATCTCTCAAACCAACCTTTGCTGGCTTTAAATTCACCAATATGAGCACTAGTTCCAGGCATTTTTCCCTGTTCATCTGGGTGTTAGTCGACTGGTGTGGGTTGCATCCTGGGAGACAAGATTAAGGACCCCAATGGAAATAAGTTAGACAGTCTTCGATGACACACTTTTTTGGGTTATCCTGGGTGGCTAACCCTCTGGGGTTAATTGTTTCTTGGTATTCTCAATAAGCCACACCAACAACGGTGCTACAGCAGCAGCAGCAGCAGCTGACAGTGCTACAGCAGCAGCTGACAGTGCTACAGCAGCAGCAGACAATGCTACAGCAGCAGCAGACGGTACTACAGCAGCAGCAGCAGCAGACGGTACTACAGCAGCAGCAGCAGCTGACGGTACTACAGCAGCAGCAGCAGCAGCAGCTGACGGTGGTACAGCAGCAGCAGCAGCAGCTGACAGTGCTACAGCAGCAGCAGACAATGCTACAGCAGCAGCAGACGGTACTACAACAGCAGCAGCAGCAGCAGCAGCTGACGGTGGTACAGCAGCAGCTGACGGTGCTACAGCAGCAGCAGCAGCAGCTGACAGTGCTACAGCAGCAGCAGCAGCTGACAGTGCTACAGCAGCAGCAGCAGCTGACAGTGCTACAGCAGCAGCAGCAGCTGACAGTGCTACAGCAGCAGCAGACGATGCTACAGCAGCAGCAGACGATGCTACAGCAGCAGCAGACGGTACTACTACAGCAGCAGCAGCAGCAGCAGACGGTGGTACAGCAGCAGCAGCAGCTGACGGTGGTACAGCAGCAGCAGCAGCTGACGGTGGTACAGCAGCAGCAGCAGCTGATGGTGCTACAGCAGCAGCAGCAGCTGACAGTGCTACAGCAGCAGCATCAGCAGTTGACCATGGTACCACAGTATTTCGATAATATTTCACACCCTTTTTACCACAGGGTTGGCACTAGAAGCTTTCTTGGGGCCCATGGTCACTTATTTTGCAGATAAAATCACCAAAAACACTGTAATAATACGAAATGTTACGATTGTATGCTTGGATGTTACCGCGGAGGCTGGCTTGTAAACAATGCCACCGGCGGAACATGTGAGGCTGGCTCAGGCGTCACATAGACGTGTCTCGGACGAACAGCATTGAGCGGGTTTTTTAGCGGTATGCGAGGCAAAATCTTAGCGATAAAATGTATCGGTATGCGGATTTAACGTTATGTAAGGCCAACGGTATGCGGGGGTCCACTGTACAGTGGACCCCCGGTTAACGATTTTAATCCGTGCAAGAGGGCTCATCGTTATGCGAAATAATCGTTATGCGAATGAATTTTCCCCATAAGAAATAATGGAAATCAAATTAATCCGTGCAAGACGCCCAAAAGTATGAAAAAATTTTTTTTTTACCACATGAAATGTTAATTTTAATACACACAAACTGAAAAAGGCATGCACAATTAAATGACACTTACTTTTATTGAAGATTGGTGATGATTGATGGGATGGGAGGAGGGGGAGAGCATTATCTTCTTACTGTTTAGAAGGGAATCCCCTTCCATTACGACTTGAGGTAGCAAGTCCTTTTCCGGGGTTACTTCCCTTCTTCTTTTAATGCCACTAGGACCAGCTTGAGAGTCACTGGACCCCTGTCGCACAACAAATCTGTCCATAGAGCTCTGTACCTCCCGTTCCTTTACGATTTGTCTAAAATGGGCCACAACATTGTCATTGAAATAGTCACCAGCACGGCTTGCAACAGCTGTGTCAGGGTGATTTTCATCTATAAAGGTTTGCAGTTCAACCCACTGTGCACACATTTCCTTAATCTTTGAAGTAGGCACAATGGATTCCACACTGGCATAGGCTTCTCAGGGTTAGCCCCAAACCCTTCAAAATCTTTCTTAATTTCCATACTAATTCTCACCCTTTTTACCACAGGGTTGGCACTAGAAGCTTTCTTGGGGCCCATGGTCACTTATTTTCCAGAAACAGCACCGAAAACACTGTAATAATACGAAATATTCCGAGTGTATGCTTGGATGTTACCGCGGAGGCTGGCTGGTAAACAATGGGACGGCCGGCACATGTGAGGCTGGCTGAGGGCACATTGGACGCGTCTCGGACGAAAATCGGTAAGCGGGTTTTTAATCGGTATGCGCGGCAAAAATTTTGCGATAAAAGTAATCGGTATGCGGAAAAATCGCTATGTGATGCCATCGTTATGCGGGAGTCCACTGTACTTACGAAAACCGGGGGTCTACTGTACAACATCAATTTTTCAGACACTGATGGTCCGGAGCCATACAAATTTACAAGCAGGAACTTGAAATTCCCATGGCAGTGTATTTACCACCAAACTGTATATCACTTATCCAACCCCAAGACCAAGGAATACTGCGCTCTCTAAAGGCAGAAAAATCAGTAATCCAGAAAGGCTTTGGAACCAAAGGTCCTGAAAATTGATGTTGTACCTGTACGTACATACATAAAATTTTTAATGAATACGTAATACTCTTCAACAGGCTAAACTAACCCTCTTTGGCATGGTTTCTTTAATGTGCCCCTTATAAGCCAATTGGAATTGTGATCTTCTTGCTGTGGGGCTCCTGTTACAGACTGCTGTCCAGAACCTGACCCATACTTCACATCATGAGAATGAAGCCGCACCTTAAATAAGTAAAAGATTTGTAGTAGACAGTAGTATATATAAGCAGTGTGATTTGCAGTAGTGAACACTGCTCTAATACTAAGGAAAGCTGGCTGTGCACACAATGCAAGTAAATGAATCCTCAGCTAGAATGTTAAATGTCACAGAATTCAAATACAGTGGACCCCCGCATAACGATCACCTCCAAATGCGACCAATTATGTAAGTGTATTTATGTAAGTGCGTTTGTACGTGTATGTTTGGGGCTCTGAAATGGACTAATCTACTTCACAATATTCCTTATGGGAACAAATTCGGTCAGTACTGGCACCTGAACATACTTCTGGAGTGAAAAAATATCGTTAACCGGGGGTCCACTGTACTGTATTTTGTACCTGAGATTCCGATGCACAGACTTCTGAAAGCACCTGTACTGAGATGCAAGTTAGTAGCTCCTAGCTACAACAGCAGCAATAATAATAATAATTAGTTATGTTTGCAAGAAATGAGTGGCATGAATATTATGCAGAGAATTTAGAGCATTGAGATAATAAAATTGGGGTTACCACAAGTATGATTCAAAGGCTGAGGAGGGGGGCTGTCAATGTGGTTTGGGTATTTAGAGTGGATTGAGCAGAATAGGATGCCTAAGAGGGTGTATATAAATCTGGAATGGAAGGGAGGGGTAGGGGTCATCCCAAGAAGGGTTGAGGGGAATGGGGGTAAGGGAGGCTTTGAGTACTAGAGGATTGAATAGGCTTGTGAGTGCAGTAGATCAGAGTAAGTGGAAACGATTATTATGGCTTGAAGTGCTGTTGGAGTTCAAGGTAACATTTATTAAGAGATTCATGGGAAATCAGCAGGATTCAGGTGGGAAGTACATGCCTGCACTCTTAAAGAGGGGTGAAGATTTTACAGTTTGGAGGGTCATCTGAAGTGTGATGTTGGCACCCTTCTGATAAGACAGTGAATGAATGATGGTAAATGAGTTTCCTCTATCTGTCTGACCAGATATATTCTGCGGCCTCTCCTGCAACTCTTTCTAAACTCGATCCCATCGATCATCAGGAATTACGTTTATGTCTAGGTGCTTTTTGCTCCTCACCTGTCAAAAGCCTCTATGCAGAAGCAAATGTCCCATCCTTGAATGACCGTCGTGATGCTCACTGCCTCTGCTATTTTGTTCACTCTCATGATCTTCACAATCCTTCTACATACAGGATAATAATGAACATTAGCAGAAGTCCATCATTTGTTCGCCGCCCGTTTACTCTGTCCCTTTTCTCTTCGTCTTCAATTGCTCATCTTCTCTTCAGTTTCCCTCTTTATATCTTCATCTAGCACCTAACTTTTCAATTTCCCCTTGGGAAGTTCTGACAGTTTGTGTCTGTTCTTCCCTCCTGCCAGGTGCAAAAGCCCAAATCCCTACAGCTGCTTCTCACTCTTTTTCTTAATCACTTCCAATCTGATTCTCATGCCATTGCAGTGTACACTGATGGCTCTAAATCCTCTGATGGTGTTGGGTTTGCAGCAGTGTTTCCTGACAGTGTGGTGCAAGGACATTTATTAGACTATTAGCATTTACAGCTGAATTGTATACCATTCTCATTGCAATTATCTGTGTTACATCTATGCCTACTTCGAAGTTTGTAATCGTCTCAGACTCCTTTAGTGCTTTGCAAGCTATTAAAAAATTTGATTCACCTCATCCCCTAGTTCTTCATATACAACTTTGGTTATGCCTCATAACTAGCAAAAATAAAGAAATCGTTTTCTGTTGGGTCCCTGGCCATGTTGATGTTCAGGGCAATGAGTAGGCAGATTCTGCTGCGTGATCTGCAGTACATGACCTACCAGTTTCATATAGAGGTATATTCCATTCTCTGGCTATTTTGCAGTAATCTCTATCCACCTTCGCAACTGTTGGCAACAATGTTGGTCTGATATGACTCATGACAAATTACAGTCTATCAAACCAAGTTTGAGTTTCTGGCCTCCTTGTCATTGATACCAAGGTTGGGAGACAATACACACTCGTCTTTGCATCGGACACACTCGTCTAACTCATGGGTATCTCATGGAGAGGTGTCCTGTTCCACTTTGTGAGTATTGTATAGTTCCTGTTTCAATTACCCATATTTTATTGGACTGTCCTGTCTATCAACGAGCACACACAATTTTCCTGCCATGTTGTCACCGCTCTCACGCCCTTACCATATCTTCCCTCCTTATTGACGAACCCACCTTTGACTTTTTGACAGCAACCGATTTACTACATAAACTTTGATAATCCTTCCTTTAGCATTCCTCACAGCCCCTCCTAACTTTACTTTTATCATCTCCATTCTTATTTATCCTTAGATCCTGCATCAATTCCTACCCTGCAGCGCTGTATGACCCTGGTACGTTTAGTATTTCTTTTTTATCATAACGATGATAATGTCTTAGCTTGAAAGTTAATTCAAGACATGCAGTAGTTTCATCCTCCTAGGCCTGCAATCATCTACAGGCATGGATGAAGAAGTAGTAATTGCCTTTTAGGGCAATTCATTGTAGCAGTATGCTGGTTTTTGCATTTTAGATGCTGGAACCATGGTCAAAAATGGATTCCGGTTTGGTGATCACAGAGAATCATGCCTTCTAGTCAACTCAGAATAACTAGGTGAGCCCTGGAGGTAAAGCTCCTCCCTATTACATGAGGCATTCAGAACTTGTTCTAGATTAGATCCTAATACTTTCCATAGTTCCATTTTGTAAACAAAGGTAGTCCCAGGGGATGCGTAAGAATGCAATGACAGATTTTTCAATTTCATCTTTCCATCTCCCACTTACCATGAAGCCCAACAATGGAAGGCTCTCAACCACAGGGATAATGGAAAGATAAGCAAGTAATCATTGGATGGCCTTGTAGTAACCATGAGATACTAAGGTAATGTACCCTCTAATGTCTGCTGATTATAGTGCTGAAGTCCAACCAACTGATTCAGTGGAATTAGCACTGAACCTCCTAATTTACTTTTAATACACCATAACATGATACAGAGGACCATACTGGCTATGCACCCATGGGTGATAAAATTGAGCTGCTCTTGTGCATTTGCTGCACATAAAAACCCACAGACAACACACTTTTTTTTTTTAGGTTGAGATTGTAAAGTAAAAGGACACAAGTGCAACTAATGTGACATTTTATTGTGGCAACGTTTCGCTCTCCAGGAGCTTTATCAAGCCATTACAAACAATATGTGGACACGGAGGAGGAGGAGGAGGAGGAGGAGGAGGAGGAGGAGGAGGAGGAGGAGGAGGAGGGCGGCGGCGGCGGCGGCGGCGGCGGCGGCGGCGGCGGCGGCAGCTGCAGCAGCAGCAGCGACAAAAGTTGGTAGAGCAATTAATTCTTATATGAGTAAAAAGATATAAAAGCTATTACTTGGGTAACATAAAAATAGGTAGGATAAATATATATATAGACTGGATAGAGGCAACCTGTTTCAGTGTTCACTCTCTGTAATGTGCTTTGTGTAGTATAACAGGAGAGACTATGTGATGGCAGGGTTTACTGTTTTCAGGAGGATTCTTGCTAAGACTTCAGAGATGGTGAGGCTGCCATTGTTTTGTTTAATTGTATTCGAAACAGCGATCAGTGCTGATTCGAGGCACTTGCGTCTGCGGAAATTAGTTTCTTTGATCACTAATTGGGCGTCTCTGAATTTCATGAGATGATTGGTGGAATTTCGGTGTTGTACACAGGCATTGTTCACGTTATCGCTCCTACATATGTAAATGTGTTCATTGAGGCGGGTGTCAAGGTTTCTTGCTGTTTCACATACGTAAATCTTGTCACAGCCTCCACAGGGTATAGTGTAAACACTGCCCTTAAGGACCTCGCCAGCGACCCCAACATTATCGTCACCACCGCCGACAAAGGAGGTGGAGTCGTCATACTCAACACCAGTGACTACAACACTAAAATGATGGACCTTTTGAATGATCAATCTACATACGAACCCATCAGCACTCAACAGTGGGAGATGCTCACCAAAGACTTTCTATACAAAACCAGACAGATACTCAAACGCACTAGAGAAGGGAAGAAACTTCTGTACTTGTTACCAAGCAACCCTAAACCAGCACACATGTATGGTTTACCCAAGACCTATAAACACAATATTCCTCTCAGACCAATCACATCAGGAATAGGCAGTGCTCCACACAAACTAGCTGGAGTTCTTGCCAAACATCTTTCCTGCCTTCTGGGGACCATCAGCCCCGCTCATCTTAAACACTCAGGCGACCTTCTCAACCGCATCCGAATCCTCTCCATCCGTAACAAGAAACTAAGCAGTTTGGACCTGACTTCCCTCTTCACAAAAGTACCTACCACAAAAGCCATCGAGGTTCTACAATGTAAAGTCAATCAGGACCTTAATCTTCCTCTGCCTCCCGGAGATTTTGTTGACTTGATTGAACTCTGTGTTAATTTCAACTGTTTTTCTTTCAATAACAAGCTCTACAAACAAACCTATGGCATGGGAATGGGGCCCCCCATCAGTGCCGCCCTAGCCAACTTATACATGGAACACCTAGAGTCCGAACACTTCGCCAACATCATCCCTTCAAGCGTCACTTGGTTACGTTACGTGGACGACGTCCTCGTAATAACTCCCAATCGTTTTGATGTACGGAATCTTCAGGCAAGGCTCAACGCAGTTGAACCGGCGATCCAGTTTACACTAGAAGAAGAGTCCAATGACAAGCTACCTTTCCTCGACGTCCTTATTCACAAAGTAGACAACAACCTAAGATTTCAAGTTTATTGGAAACCTACCAATAAAAATGATCTCACACACTTCTATTCCAGTCAAGATACCAAAACCAAAAGAGGCATCATCATCGGGTTTTTCCTAAGAGCATATCGAATTTGTAGTCCTGAGTTTCTTGACAAGGAATGTACATACATTCACCAAACCTTCACTGAGTTAAATTTTCCTTCCTTTTTCCATCAAAGACTGCAAGAAAAGAGCTCTTCAGATCATTAGTTCTCCACGCACCAACACCACTCCCAACAAAGTTATAGTTCTTCCCAACAGCCAGGTTGCACTGAACGTTTCTAAAGTACTTTCACAAGCTAACACCAGAGTCGCCATCGCTTCTAGCACTTCAATAAAGGATCTAACCAGGACAAAAATCAAAGCACCACGAACCAGTCAATGCAGGAGTTTACACTATACCCTGTGGAGGCTGTGACAAGATTTACATAGGTGAAACAGCAAGAAACCTCGACATCCGCCTCAATGAACACATTTACGTATGTAGGAACAATAACTTGAACAATGCCTGTGTACAACACCGAAATTCCACCAATCATCTCATGAAATTCAGAGACGCCCAATTAGTGATCATAGAAACTAATTTCCGCAGACGCAAGTGCCTCGAATCAGCACTGATCGCTGTTTTGAATACAATTAAACAAAACAACGGCAGCCTCACCATCTCTGAAGTCTTAGCAAGAATCCTTCTGAAAACAGTAAACCCTGCCATCACATAGTCTCTCCTGTTATACTACACAAAGCACATTACAGAGAGTGAACACTGAAACAGGCTGCCTCTATCCAGTCTATATATATATTTATCCAACCTATTTTTATGTTACCCAAGTAATAGCTTTTATATCTTTTTACTCGTGTACGAATTAATTGCTCTACCATATTGTATTACTACTACTACTACAATTTTTGTCACTACTACTACTACTACCACTAGTATTGCACCTCACTCTGAGCCTATATACCCTCTGTGTCCATGTATTGTTTGTAATGGCTTGATAAAGCTCCTGGAGAGCAAAACGTTGCCACAATAAAATGTCACATTAGTTGCACTTTGTGTCCTTTTACTTTACATATTGATAAATTAGACACATGTGCAACTCTTGGGTATCTTTATTGAGGAAACGTTTCGCCACACAGTGGCTTCATCAGTCCATACAAAGGAGAATCTTGAAGAATAGGAGGAGAATGAGGTAATCAGTCCCTCAACCTTGAGTCGATGTGGTCAGTCCATCAATCTTGAATAGAATACGGCATACGTGCTATTCTATTCAAGATTGATGGACTGACCACATCGACTCAAGGTTGAGGGACTGATTACCTCATTCTCCTCCTATTCTTCAAGATTCTCCTTTGTATGGACTGATGAAGCCACTGTGTGGCGAAACGTTTCCTCAATAAAGATACCCAAGAGTTGCACATGTGTCTAATTTATCAACATGTCGGTTCTCTGAACCATTCATCTACAAAATACTTTACATATTGTCGGTAATTGTACTAACTTTATTACAATAGGTTGAGATTAACACTAACAAGTTGAAAAGCAAGACACATAGGAAACGCCAGGAATCTTTATTGGTGAAATGTTTCTCCTATGCTGCAGGCTTCATCAATCAATTACAAAGACAACAGTAGTGGTGGAAGATGAAGGAGACAAAGTGGGGAAGAAGTTGATGTAGTCAGCCCATCACTCCTAGAGCAAGATGATTAACTTTTTTCAATACTTCTCTACCCATTTTATTATATCTATGTCTGTTCTGTAATATGGATATCAGAGACTTATCTTGACCTAAGGGTGATGAACTGATTATATCAACTACCTCTCCACTTTGTCTTCTACTAATGCTAATGTCTTCGTAATCAATTGATGAAATTTGCAATGCAGGTAAAACATATGGATACCTATGAAATACAAACAGCATTTCTTTTGGAACAATTCTTGTACAAAATGTCATTTTATAAAAATAAAGAGTTACAGTAGCCTGACATCTTTATTTTAATGAAAACTGAATATATAAATTTACCAAAATAACAGGGAAAGATACCCACATCATTTATTATTAATGTACTGTACTTTACACATCAATTATAAAACAGGAAAGAGTAGGTAAGCCAATTTCTATCATATAGCAGGAACAAAAATTTGACAAAATATTGACCCAATGAATGTGTACTCTTACAACCATAAATATTATCCCATGGCAGAATGGCCTTCTTCCCATAATTTGTATCTCAATTTACAGGTACAGTACAGTTTTACACAAACTAATTTCTAACATTAGTACAACTAAGTTAAATAAATATAATCACCAGGATACAGTACCACTCATTACACACACAACTTTAGTGGTTGTCCACCTGGTTTCTTTCTTGTAATGCTAATGCACAGTATATAAAATACAGTGGAACCTCGGCACTCGAACTTAACTGGTTCGAGAAGGCTGTTCAAGTGCCAATCTGTTTGAGTACAGAACAAATTTTTCCCAACTAATTTTCCTCTTGGTTGGCTGTTATCACTAACCCTCTTAGGCCCCATGGTGACTTATTTATACCAATAATATAAAAAAAATACCAAAAAATACTAAGAAACACAAAATAGTTTACAAAGAAGTTCTGGCAGGTCATGTTTGTTTGGTCAAGTGCTGAGCAAACGACTACCAAGCGATTGTTTACCAAACAAAGCATTCGAATACCAAATTGTTCAAGTAAGGAGTTATTCAAGTACTGAGGTTCCACTGTATTAAGACTGAGCTGCTGATGTACCTAATATTCTAGTAAATACTAACCTGAAATTAAAATCAGATTGAGAAATTTTTTATCAGCAATGGAACATAAGAACCATTTCCTGACTAAACATTAGCAACACAGATCCAGAGTATCCAATATTTGGACAAAAGTATGGTCAGGGTTAAAGATATCTGAATCATGGTCTGGAAGTGACACTCCAAGTCTGACATTTCTTTGGGTGGGCAATTAATCACTACTTCTCTCACCACTAAACAGAACTCTTAAAAGGTTAATACCATGTAAAATAAAACTGCATAGTTGACTCTTCAATGAGCAGTACCCAAAACCCACCTTATAGTAAGCATTGAAGAGTTTCACAACTGACCCACATGTAACATGTTGAGTTCCACGCCCTGGAATATATGTACAAGCCAATACATTATTCAAAATCATTCAGCGAGTGCTTAAATACAGAATACATTACATATTTTACGTAGAATAGAAGAAATTAAACTTATGAAATGGACTCAATACTGGGAATGGTTCCATATTGATAAAACAAATATCTTGAAAATAGTACTAGGCACAATTTTAACTGGATGAGTAGGATATGTCCTATACTTAGTTATCTTTATTGTGGAGACATTTCACTAACCTATAGCTTTATCAATCCATTTGAGAATAAACGCTGGAAGACATCAAGAGATAATTTAATGAATAAATTCATTCAGTGGAATATTACAGCACAACATATGAAGAGAGCATAGTATGAATACAAAATAACTATTAGGTTGTATTTCATGCAAGGCCCATGTTACTGTACTGTATATACAATTAATTTTATTTAAGAAATTATTTTATAGACATGTATGGAATGCATTTGCATTACAGTACATATATATTGTATGTATACAATATTAAATTATGTAGATTTTATCTACATATTCACAGTTAAGCAGCATTACAAACTTCAAGAACATCACGACTGAATCCTGTATGTACTACAAATATAAATAAGATAAACAAAGTGGAAATATTAACCAGGTTTATCCTAGGTTAAAGCATCATAAAATGTCACTTTCATATATTTATAATGACTATATATATAATATTTAACGTTACTTCGTTTAGAATAAAAATAACTTTTACTACGTTTACTGTAGTATCTGTGTATGTAGCACACCTAAATAACTAACAAAATACCATGAATGCTGCTGATATTAAATTGTAGTTATGAGGAAGTGCTAAACACGTTGGGTTCATACAGAGTTTGAGGAAGTGAAGACAATCAGGTTTGATTCAATGAACCTCACTCTAATTCCCTGGATCACGAGCCCTTCACAGGCGTCAATACACCTCCCTCACTTAAAGGGTAGTTATCTGAAAACGCTTAAAACTATGCTTCTAACAATAAACCCAATAGAAAAAAAATACATACCATAGACGCATACCACGAGCGTGAAAAGACAAATGATTTGTATTTTCATTGTAGCTGAAAATAATATTCTCTTAAGGAAAACACATCCACGATATAACATGTGAGTAGAAGCAGCCTCAGTGACGACGTCACTAACGTCAACACACGTCCGTCGCTCTGATTGGTCCACCACCACCACCACACAACCTTCGTACACTCTCAACTTATTCTTATACTTGTTACTTGTTGTACCTGGTAGTTTTTTTTTTTTAAGTTTATTCAGGTATAGGTACATATAAATGCAGTTACATAAATCATCATACATGTTAGAATATGTGTAGATTACCTAGGATTAACCCAAAAAAGTCCTATATTATAACAATAATAATAATAATAATAATAATAATAATAATAATAATAATAATAATAACAATAGAGAAAAAAGAAGTCCCACTGGGGATCTTCATTGACTTACGTAAAGCTTTTGATACAGTTGACCATGACTTGCTCCACGTAAAATTGTCACACTATGGTATAAGAGGGCACTCCCTCAACTACCTCAAGTCTTACCTCAGCAACAGAAGCCAATATGTGTACGCAAATGGGGCAAACTCTTCTGCACAACCAATTACAGTTGGTGTCCCACAGGGAAGTGTCCTTGGCCCTCTTCTCTTTCTCCTATACATAAATGGGCCTACCAAATGCTTCGCAATTACTCAAACCCACACTATCTGCAGATGACACTACATACGTCTTCTCTCACCCGAGCCCAGTCACGCTAGCCAATACTGTAAACACCGAATTACAGAAAATATCTACCTGGATGAGGACTAACAAACTTACACTAAACATTGACAAAACCTACTTCATTCAGTTTGGTAACAGAGCTACAGATGTCCCTCTTAACATAATGATAAACGGATCACCTATCACAAAGCTAACAGAGGGAAAATTCTTAGGAATCCACCTTGATAATAGACTCAAATTTCATACACATATACAACAAATTTCTAAGAAAATTTCCAAGACTGTAGGCTGGTGGTTAACGCTCTCGCTTCACACGGTGAGGGCCTGGGTTCGATTCTCAGCCAGAGTAGAAACATTGGACGGTTTTTTCCACTGTTGTCTATGTTCCCCATCATGAAATGGGTACTGGGTGTTAGTCGACTGGTGTGGGTGCATCCTGGGACACCTGACCTAAAGGAGGATGATCACAGACCGCGCGGGAGTTTGACCCTGAATCTTCCAGATAAACTCCAGTATACTATCGAAGTATACGGTACTTGCTCACAGTCGCCTACTGTCACTTATATTACTCTCTTATTTACCCATTCTACCATATGGAATTTGTGCATGGGGCTCAACAACAATTAACCATCTCAGACCACTAATTACTCAACAAAAGGCTGCAGTTAGAATGATAACAAATTCTCACTACAGGCAGCACACTCCACCAATATTCAATACACTAAACCTACTCACCATACAAAACATCCATACTTATTACTGCACCTATTACATACATAGAACACTTAACTCTGATATTAGCCCTCCCCTCAAACATCTCCTTGCCAACCTCAACAGAACACATGACCATAACACAAGGCACAGATCACTCTTTGATGTTCCTCGTGTCCATCTCACACTATGCAAAAACTCAATGCACATAAAAGGCCCTAAAATCTCTAATTCATTACCTGTAAATATAAAAGAAACACTACCTGTTTATAAATTCAAGTCTCTTCTCAAAGATCACTTACTCACCCAAAACCAAATAAATACTGAATAACTGAACCTTATAAATTGTATATCTTAAATGTTTCTCACAATTATATCACATAAATGTTAAACCTAAAACCCAATCTAACTTTATTATTTTTTAAATACACTACCTAACAGAATACTCCGTATGACTGAATGTACAACAATGCATGCAACCATATGACCTGTCTTTGTAATACTCACTTGTGCTTTATAGTTTGTCTGTTTACATTAATGTTTTATCACTGATTTCATCATTGCTTAGTTAATCTTAAGTTAATTTTAAGCCAGCCCGTAATGCTATGCATAGTATAAGTGGCTTTGGCATGCTGCTCTTATCTGTATTTTTTTGTACCTCTGTATGTGTGCTCAAATTGTTAATAAATAAATAAATAAATAGTAATAAAATTTATTTCTACGTGTACAAGGAATACAGACTATAGCTGACATCAATGACATACTACTATATAGAAAGCCGCTTGTTATGCAGAGCATTTTAGGCAAATTAGGTCATATCCCCAGCATTCGACCCACACCAGTCGACTAACACCCAGATACCTATTTTACTGATAGGTGAACAGGGACAGCAGGTGTCTAAATGAAACACGTCCTAATGTTTCCACCCATACCGGGAATCGATCCCCGGAGCTCAGTGTGTGAGCTGAGTGCCCTAGCTTTCTAGCGACAGACGTTTCCTTATACCTGATGTCCCTGTTTACCTAGCAGTAAGTAGGTACCTGGGTGTCAGCCGACTGGTGTGGGTCGCATCCTGAGGGATAAGCTCGAAGAACCCCAATGGAAATAAAACAGAAAACCCAACGCGCTGATTTTCTTGGGTTATCCTGGGTGGCTAACCCTCTGGGTTAAAAATCCCAACATCTTTTCTTAATCTTATTCCTAGTTACCGTACACTACTGAATATTTTCCAGCATCTGGCAACAGAAAATGAGGGGGGGAGGAAGGGATAGCAACCAATCAGAGTTGCATATTCACTAGTGATGCAATCACAGCTGATTGTGCCAATATTATTATTCCAATCACATTTTTATTAAAACAGCAAGTAATAAGGACAAATTTCGTTTTATAAAAACATTTAAAACTCAAACACAGCTAAAAAATGGACAAAAATAAATAATAATACTAATTTATAGGTTAGAAATTATGTTTTAAGAGTAGTTTTAACACCCATTTGAGTTTGATACTCCATCAATGAAGTGGTCTGCTATTGGTTAAAGAGAAGAGGAAGTGTCGTATCCGCTGAGGGACCAATCAGAGCTCTCTCATAGCCATGGATTATTATGACGTCATGAGAATCCTTGGGTCACTTGGGTGTTTGTAAACACAGACACGTTGGAAACCATCCACATTATTATGTGAATATTTCTACCATAATAGAGGCAAGGAAAAGCTTCAGATAATGGAGGTTGATGACATTCACTCTCAAGAGCCTAAGCTGGAGATAGAAGTAAGTATATTTTATATAATAGAAAATATGTAGAAAGATCTTTGTTCATACAGAAAACGAGATTCACCATTTTCATTTCCTGTTCTTTGCCAAGTCATCCCTTTGTCATCTGTATGATATTGGCGAGAAGCAATCGATTCCAATAAACATGGTGAGCTATATTAATGTAAATTCAACATTTTTATTACCTCAAAGTATAAAACTGCAAGTATTTGGTTTATCAGTTATTTACCATTCTAAATGAACATTATCACCTTATGTACTTCAAGGTTCAAAGATAAATCTTGGAAGATATTATGGTTTTTTAGATCATTTATACGGTTTGCATTTATTGAATAAGTGAATTTGCATTGAAAATAATACTTTTAAATAGATTGTGGTATGATTATTCTTATTTGTAAATAAATATACAACATAGCCATGGGGTTATTCTAGGTTAAGTCATCACAAAATGTAACATCCTCTGTATATGTGTGTGTGTGTATAATATATATATATATATATATATATAATATAATATATATATATATATTATATATATATATATATAATATATATATATATATATATATATAATACACACATGTATATATAACAAGTCGGCCGTCTTCCAAGAAGGCAGGGTGACCCAAAAAGAAAAAATCCCCAACAAGAAAATACTTTCATCATCTTTCACCTCACTCACACATAATCACTGTTTTTGCAGAGGTGCTCAGAACACAACAGTTTAGCATATACATATAAAGATACACAACATATACATATATATATCACACACACACATTATATATATATATAAATATAATATATAATATATATATATATATATATATATATATATATATATATATATATATATATATATATAATATATATATATATATATATATATTTCACTGTGGTTGTTCTGCATATTATGATATCGCCTGTTTACTGTGATTTTATTGCAAATAATAAATAATGGCTAAATGCAATGTATTGTAATTTTTCACTTTTAAAGATGACAGTTTATATTTACCATAAAGCCTCTATAAATGATTAAATTAACCCTTTGAGGGTCGACAGGCCCTCTCCGAGACTCGTTCTCAGGGTCGGCCAAATTTAAAAAAAAAAATAATTTTTTCTTATGAAAAGATGGAGAATCTTTTCCTGATCATAATGACCCCAAAAGTATGAAATTTGATGGAAAACTTATGGAATTATGCTCTCACGAAGTTAGCGGTCTAGGCGATGTTTATGCATCGGCGATTTTGCCCAGTTTGAGCCCTATTTTTGGCCAATTCCACTGTACTAGTCGACAAAAAACATGAATATTTCGCTAGAACTCCATTTTTTCTATCGAATGAGTGTAAGAAACCACCCATTTACCAATTTCAACTATCAGCACAGTGGTCAGAATTTAGCAATTTTGCCAATTTCTCACAAATTTCAAAAGATGCCAATTTCCAAATAGGGTCCAGAATAAACAAGAAAGACATTCCTGGCACTAAAATGACATTTCCTCTGTTCATTAGTCATGTCCCAAGGCCCCTCTTACATTCTTTTGCTTTCCACTTTGAATTTTTATTCTCACAAAGCTGTATAGTCCTTGTGGCTTAGCGCTTCTTTTTGATTATAATAATAATATTCTCACAAAAAATAGAAGATTTACTGTTATGCAGACTACTGCATTAGTGTAAAAATGGTATAAATAATATTGGCGTACTTGCAAAAGAATATTAGACTCACCAGTTGACGTGTATTGGACGCTTGGCATGATTTGTTTACTTTTGAACTTTGGTAAAAATCGAACATTTCTGCTACTTTGAGCTCAATTTCAAGGTACTTTTCATTGTAAAACCAGTCAAAATCATCTCGATTTCTGTAATATGTCTTCCATTCTTTAAAATGAGACCAAGAAAACTAGAATACAACAATAAATACCATACGAAAATACAGTGCAAAGTCGCTGTTTTATTCCAGAAAAACGGTCGAAGTTTTTTTTTCTCATTATGCACTGTGTGCTGCAGGATTTTTTTTATATACTGCGCACACTGACCACATAGACCCATTCTTTCATATGTATGCCTACCAGCTTTTTCCCCACTAGATTTGAGGGCGCTAGAATTTAGGTGTACTAGTACGTCAAAAACCCTGGGTCGTAAGCCATACTAGTACGGCCGAAACCCTCAAAGGGTTAAATAAAGAACAAATAAAACTCAAATGGTGTGCTTCTGACAAATTTAAAAAGAAGTCGCTTATTGCAGAACAAGATTTTATTGGGAGGCTACACTCTTATAAAACTTTATACAAAATCAAACACTGTCCCAATAAAAGCTTATTCTGCAGCAGTGTTTTAATCAAAGAAACAAATTGATGTTATTGTTAATTACTTGATAGCCAGTTGCATAATAGTAAGATTTGGCTAATGGGGTTTGTATCATCCATTTCTATTCTATGCACCTCTATATAAAATTGCTTCATCCTAATCAAAGTGACAGTCTGTTGTACTGTATCTTTAAATACAGTAGGTCCTTGAATAACATTGTTAATGAGAAACTAATTCCTGGCCTGGACCACTGTCTTTGGAATTTACACATTCTCCCCATGTTTGCTGTATGAAAGCACTCAGCGAGCCCACCATATTTGTTTGTTTTCGAACTGTGTGGTGGTAGGAGGTGCTCCTCACAATTTTTGCTTTGCAGACATTTATTATTTGATTTAACCCTGTTGCAATGAGTGCTAATAGTGCACTGTACACCCCTGATGTCTGTGACCATAAAATACAAGAAAGTGTGACCTCTTTAAAACATGAAGTTTTAAAGAGTTTGATGATGGACAGTGAAGTGTAATTCCTTTAGTTGCTACAAAATTAACTCAAAATAGCATAATGGAAAATTTGGATGGAGGATGTGAATTGGCGTAACTCTCCATGTTCGCTAATGGCCATACAAATGATTTCATTACACGTCATTTCTCCTAAAGTCACAGTTTCCAAGAACCTATTGATGACTTTGAGGGTTTACTGTACAAAAAAGTAAATATTGGGCTTAAGAATATAATTTTATTGGTATCTGGTGAAGTCGCCAACTTTTTAAATCACAGACATTGGTGAATTATCTAGGTGCAAGGTTCAGAGACTTAAAATTTAACTATGAGTTATCTTACGCCATAATTAAGGTTTCAGTGAGGCTAGGTTAGCACCTGCCAGTAGTTTTACTAAATTTGTTCATGGAAGAACTCTGCCATTTGAAAAAGTAAGAAACTTTTCCCAACCAGTCGATGACTTGAGCACATTGGTGAGATCACTTTCATTCCATTTTACTTGTAGATTTAGTGCTAGAAATTCACAAACATTCATAAAAATATTGTATTTAATTCTAGCAGACAAGACACATTTTAGCCTGATAATAGTTTAAAGTGAAAAAAAGTGGGCAAGCCAGTATTAAAAAATGCCTAAATTGTTGTTTGAATTGTTAAATATACATATATTAAACATAATTTAATATATGTTACATGCAATTGAAAATGCAGCAAAAAGGATAATACTAAATAATACTAATAAAATCATCAGATATCATTTAGATTTTTTCATCTTGTGGAATTATGGCACTTTGCTTGATTATTATCAAAACAGTACAATTAATGAAACCAATCTCTGTTCTGAGTATGCATACTTTCTTCTATTTAAATTTACATTTTCTTCAAAGCCCTGCATATTTTTCCATACCATTAACTAACATAGTCATTTAAGAGTTTTGAGAATATATAATTTCTCGTGCATTATGGAAAAAAAAGCAAACTTAAACTGCATATATTTTTTCCTGCTTACTATTAAAGATACCGTATCACAGATATTTCGTGTACGGTATGTTGTGATAAGGCTGTATTATTTTTTTTCCTTGCTAATATATGCAAGTGATTTCAGGACAAAGCATTTAGAAAAAAGGTTAAAATATAAAATTCCAAAACAATCCTTTTGCATATTAATGCATTTTTTTATTAAATGTTACTTCACAATACTGTGTTACATATAAAAAAAATCAGCAAAATTATTTGATAATTTCTACTTGTAATCTTTGGGAAAATAATGAATGGTTTAAGGTGAACAAGCACTTGCTGTACCAGTTTTTATATACTGTATTTATAGTCACTGTATACAGTATATTATAACCTTATATACTTCAGTCAAAGAACAGCCATAACCTAGTAACAGCAAACTGAGCGTGTATGCATACATGTGTTGTGTCTATGGTTTTGTTGTAGTGTTTCTATATTTGTCTTGGGTTATGTAGCATATCTGTATTGTGTAGTATCAGTTTTGTCTGTATGGTATCTTTGTTGTCTGGATGCTTATTTGTGTTGCGTGGTGCCTGGGCATTCATTTGTTTGTAGAGCGATGTATATATGCAGTATAGTGTTGCATGTATACATGCTTTTGCTGCGTTGTGTGCGCGTGGAGGATGGTTACTCATACACTGGAATATTTCAGTAGGTCTGGAGTTTCTTACACATACGGATGATGCGACCATTAACAAGCCTAATGACACCTATCAATTTCTGGTTAAGATGGTACTACTACCAAGGTCATTAGTACACCTATTTACGGCTAGGTTAGAGTATTATTATTATTATAATCAAGGGGGAAGCGCTAAACTCGGAGGATTATACAGCGCCTGGGGGGGGGATGTGGAAGGCATTCAGGCTTAATTCGGGGAACTGGAGCACAGATCCAATTCCCTAAATCAAGAGCCCCTCACCAACATCAAGGAACCTTCTTTGAGGGGTAGGTTAGAGTAGCATGTGTAAGATGACTTTATTTTAAATCATTTATGCAGGTATTATAGTACATTAAGTAATTTGAATTTTGAACTGAAAATATAAAGTATCTTGTGTAGTAATTTAAGATATACGGAAGTAACATTTGTTGAATTGATTAGTTCACTAACTTGTTATGCTATGTGTACAGTTCGCATATTTTCAATAATTGATCGCGGTGTATGTAATCGACGCTTAAAAAA